AAACAAAAGATGGATTCTTATAAACTTTAAACAGTTATCCAACACGCAATCAATAATGAATGGATTAAAATAATTTTTCACCGCTTTTTTAAGGAACCATCAAACGAATCGACTGATCTCTTTGTGCGTCGAAGAAACTTCAAAGTTTATAGTCAAGTATCTCGAAAGCTCTTATACCTGCATTTCATTAAATCAATGTAACAGTTAATCGCAAAACATAAAGATAATCGAAGAAACAATAGACTACATCGATTAAGAGTCAAAGAGCACACCCACACGCAACATCAGCTATGGATGACAAATTCAAAGCTGACCCATCGACCCCGAAAAACTTCTACCACGCGCACGCGTATGTACATGGTGCACCAACACCACCACTGTTCTCTTCCGGATGATTTCTTATATTGTACGTAAAAATACACGCACAATACCATTCTTACTCAGATATAAGGTGAAACAACAGCGTATCTCGCGAGGTATCTTGGTGCGTGTGCCACGTGGTTTGGTACATGTTGTAATACAACACACGTGTACAAAAGCTCGTACAGCTAAGAAGGGAGGGGACTTTTACGTGCGTCACATCGATCGGGTACGTGAAATTCATTAATTTTCATCCAAGGTACCGTGCTTCTGTGGTGCGCATTATGTGGGGTAAGAAAAAAAGCTTTTCTGTTTTCTCTTTTCTTAGAGACTTGGTGGCTCAATATTATCGCGGTGCGTTGGGAAAATGATAAATAATTACTCGAAATTTCCGTCTGGCCTGAAAGCTTCGAATAACTTTTAAAATTTAACTGGTTTACGAAAAATTGTCTCTCTCCCTTTAATGTTGAAAATTTAACTCGGTTGCCCACCCTGAGCATATTTATGAGCAATTCCATCGAAAAAGTTGGATGAAAAAAGCTATTATTTTTAACGAGATGAGCGAAAAATGTCATAAATACAAAAATTCGTTTAACGCATTTTTTTTGCATTTTATGGAATTTACTTGATAAAATTTTTGTTTTGTTTCAGGGGACTTTTAACGAATGATTTTAGTAGCATAGCTTATACTCTCTCCGATGAATGTTTTAGTAAAATATACAAACACGATTCCAAAGACGATTTTTTAGGCAATGACTCACTTCGACAATAAGCAATGTAGATACAATATACATTATACTCCCAACACTGCGCACTAACGTGTAACAATAAGTGTACAGAAGTTTGTGTGAAAAAAACGTGTAGTACACAAAAACAATATAAACTAACGTTTACGTGTAAGTGTGGGAAAAATATATATATATTTATATATATTTGGTGTGTATACAAATATAGAGATGCACATATGCATATTATATACGATCGGTATACAAAACCGGGTTTCTAGAGTAGCTTACTAAATGCGCGCTCGAACGGAGTACTCGTCCGAGAGTAACCTGCAACAGCGAAACAACAGCCGGTCACTGACGACCCTCCATATTCTCCTCCTCTTTTGATTCCATGATATGTAATATGCATGTATTGCTTACAGCTAATGATGTTAGTCTTAATATTAATCCACTCAAAGGTCAACACGATTCAACTCGGCCAATACACACGTGTCGATCTTCACGTTTACCGGAAGCGCTCGCTCGCTCGCCTCGCGCGATGTGATCGTAAATTACCCTCCTAAGGACTCCATCCATATGTGCCAATAAATTATTCACGCTGGTAGCTGTTCTCGTCCGACAACTGTTCTAACGTACAGAATAAAAATAATGCACACACGTGTGCGTTGCTATCGAACATTAGCATCTGCTATTCAGGGGGAGAATTGAGAATTCCGTTTCCTCATAATATCAATTATGCTTGAGTCAAACGAATTGAGTCGTTCACTGTAGCGTTGACGGAAGATGGACAGAAATTTGAAGGGGTGTGTACACACCTAAGGTTTGTCGACTTGAGTGTATATATGCACACGAGGTTTGTTAGATTTGTTGAGCAATTAGCCGGTATTAAGCGCGGTTTCCCACAACTACGGAAAATAATAAAATCAGGTGATTTCGAAAATTGTCGGAAATGACTGAAGGGGTATCCTGGTAAATACGACCGTAATGGTTCATTCGCAGAAGGTGGGTGGAAATTTAGTAATTGGTTTACGAGTGACGGCCCCCTACCTCCGTAGCAAATGAAAAACCCGGAGGGTATCGCCCTCGTGGTTCCAACGAAAAACAAGTTAGTCTGATAAATAACTCAATCAACCCGTTATGTTTTACTCTGCGCGTGTAAGAGACGGACCGCACCTGTAGATAGCACACCCCGGCTGCTCAATTATTAGCACGTGTCCGCAAACGGCGTCCAATTGCGTACACCGTACACTGTTTCTCGCTGTTCCACCCTACTCTTGCGCGGTCCACGTCCGTAATTACTGTATGCGGGGAGTACAAGAGAGAACAAGGCGATTCCTCCTTGATCACCGTAATCCGTTCGAGAGCCACAGACTCTCGAGTCGGGTACACGAGGGGGAGGATCGGTAGTGCTTTTATCTCATTATTGCATGCCCTTGTACTTCACGAATGTCAACTTGTTTTCTTTTTTTTTACTAACACAGACTTTAATGGGTTAGAGGTATTGTTTTTATTTCCTGTGGTATGTCTGCAGTCGTCTCTGTTGGTCATTCAATACCAAGGTGACGATTTGATGTTTGCTGTATATACATTGAATTGCTAGGCCCGAAAAATATACCAGACACTTCAAAGAGCCACCCCTTAATCTCGTTGATGGGCAATTATCGCGCTCGTCTACCAAAGCCCTGCACGCACGCGCTTCCCCTGGCTTTGGCGCTTTCATCAAATTACTTGCGGAGGAGATATGTTTCTGATCGATTGCTCTTCGTTAGCTCTGTACGCTCAATTGGGAGATTTTTGTTAGCACCGATGGTGTCAGATGTTTTGTGTCTTTCGCGCCCACCCTGAAATGGTTAGTAAAGTCTCATCAATGAAAGAGTCTGTTTGTGTGAAAGTAATTTATTTCTTTTTCTTTTTTTTTATATTTATGATTTTTCTACAACTGGATTTTGACAATTGTCATCATTGCTCTTTAAGCAAGTTACGATAAAGTTTGATTTACTCAGCTTCAGACCCATCTTATCGATTATTTGTTGTATCGTTCACTGTTAAAAGAGAAGTAATCAAACCGAAGATCACGGTAGTACTTTGGATGGCTGAGCATTTCCCCTCCCTCTACTCCATCATTTTACTTAACAAAATGTCATTTGCCATAAACTGTTTGAGCCATCACATTGTTAAAAGCATCTGAGAAGATTTACCGCACAGTCGATTTATGACTTACTGCGCAGTCGTGTGTTTGTAACCGAACCAGTGACTTGCATCGACTGTTACGAATCTATTTTTTTAAAGTTAATATTAAAGACTCCAGTTTATAACTTTGGTTAACGTACAACGTATCGTGAATAACAGCGAAAATACCATTCATATTTATTTTTGTACTGTTAAAATAAGTCTATTAATCCTTCAGCCGTCGTGACAACTTCTATTTTTTTTTTTTTGAAATTCTCGCGTTGACAAAATATACTACACAAGGAATTCAGACACAATTTAGCAATAAATTTGAATGCAGAATCAAAATTTATTAAACATTCATCAGGGTCTAATCTTTTAGAATCTCGTATTTGACTAATATCCGTATCCATGTCTTCCTTGTAAGACTCTAAGGGGAAATCATAGGCCTTTATTTATTTTTAAGCTTAAGAACTTGTGAACAACGTTCACAAATAAACCCTATTGCTTAGTTTCTCGATCAAATTGTGTTATTATATATTGCCATATTGTATAAACATTTTTTGACTACATAACCAACTTGGAGATCCATCTTTACTATGCCAGATACCCTTGTACCATTAAAATATAATCACATGTATCTTCATGTTGACAATCTTCTTGAATCATATTTTTGCAGCATGTACGACACAGTGAAAAAATTAAATTAATCTTAAATCCTTTCTAAACTTAACAAATTTAATTATCCCCAGTGCCTTAGTAAAAATGTCTGCTTCGTTACCTTCTGAGTTTATTTTAACTATGTTAATTATACCGTTTGAACAATTCTCATTTACAAAGTGAAAATATATTTCAATATATTTTGAGTTTTTCGTATAGTTACCAAATTTAGCTAGCAATACTAATCGCACCAAAGTTATCTTCAAAAACATTTATTAGCTCATTAAAAATAATTTAGAAATCATCTAATATTTTTCTTATTTAGAAGATTNTATTTAATATAATTTAATAGTTCATAATCTTGCAGTATAATCATAGTGTATAATCAAATATACTTTTGTAATATTAACAAATCCCGAATGAATCATGCATATCCATTAAACCCACTATGACTCAATTAAATCTGTCAAAGTATAAGATTGACCGAACAAGTATAGTATATCAAAATAAAATGTGGAGCTCCCAATTATCGTGGAATGCGTAATCTACGATTATAATTAAGGCCGTTGTAAATAATGTAGAAAAAACGCCCGACCGTCGCCAACCTTGACCCTGACTCGTTCTACTTTTTTTTCCTTCGATTGTAGATTACGTGTACACATATCACTCACGTGGCTTATGAAATTTTCTCTCATTTGTATTTTCCATGTACTAATTAGAAATGAAAAACTTTTTTTATGAAACATTTCCTTCGCAAGAATATTTCATTAAAAGCGCCAAATTCAGGGGCCGAAGTAACGAAACGCAAGTTAAGTCGTAAAATCCAACACAGCGTCAGACTTAAAAAAAAAAAAAATAGAAAGCGAAACTCGTGAAAACCCCAGAAAAATTGTTATGATTCTTGTGTGGAAATAATCTCCAATCGATTGGCTGCGATACACGAGCACACAGTACACACGCATCCCAAATACTTGGGTACACTGTATCAGCTCAATAATATCCACCACCGCATAATGTTCGACAACAATCCATTTACACATCATGAATAAGGAAAAATGGCAAAAAAATCCATGGACAACTTACTCGGGATACTTGACGCTGGGCAGAGCCTTGAGGAAACAGCGCTGCCGGAGTATGCCCTCCCAGAGCTGCACGCCGACGATCCCGAATATGAAGAACACGAAGAAGCAGAGCAGCAGGACGTTGCCCAGCATCGGCAGCGTGTCGAGCAGCAACATCACCAAGATCCTCATGCCTGAACATTTTATCATGGATTACAAAATACATCTATGTGTTGTGTGTATAAAAATAAAGTGTAGGAAGCATTTCTGCCATCATAAGGGGAGGTAATGGGGGTAACAATAAGAAAACAAGCAACGGGTAATTGCGCAGGCTCGCTACGCATACATGTCTCTTAAAGGTGTGAGTGCGTGCACGTACACATACACTACCCAAGAGAATTGTACCCGAAGGATGCATTAGTTTGTTTGGGTCTCTATAGAATGTCGTGTTGTATGGCGCGTGGAAAACCCACCGATAATAAAATAAACGATAACGAACCTCCTTGCACTTGATACAAATATTGTCCTGGTATACAGTGTTTTTATTTATTTATTTTTTTTTTTTTTCAAGCTCAACGAGACGGAGTCAGGAACTTTGAGCTCAAGCATTGGAGCACGTCATTAGGGATAAAAACGGTACTTCTCATTTGGACTGAGAACGAAGCTACTTTGGATCGAACGGATAGAGCATTTGAGTATATTTATATTTTTACTTGTGAAACGATTCTAATGAAATACGAACTAACAAATATCATTCAAAATATCGGCCCCTTTTTGACGCAATATCGTAGAGTATGATGCATGAGTCTCCGTTTCACTCCAACTACCAAAGATAAATTGAAAACGAGGTAATATTTGAATTGTTTAGAAATTTTCAATTTTTAGTATTTCATGAGTTACCAAATAATGTACCAGAAAAAAAAAATATATGTATATATAAAAATTATCAAACTATAACGGGTGGCATGAATTGTTAAAATTCAAAATACCATTAGACGCTCGTTCTGCCCATGACAGGGTGGACAATCATTCCACGACCGTGAGCATCGACCCCACCCTTCTGCGTACAATTCGCAAACCGTCCGACGGCTAGAATATCGTGAAACCGGAGCGTGAACCTTTTACCTTCACCTCCCCGGATATCGATCCCCTTTTTGCAATATTACAATACAAACGAAGCTGGAGAAATGAAATTCCAAGAGCACCTTGTTTAGTTTTCCGCGTTTTTAACGAGCCAAACTACACACGGCTCCATATGAAAGGGTGGAAAAGTCGAGAATGTATACGGGAAAGATTGGAGAAAAAAAAGATCGAGGGTACGAGCGTACAGCGGTGTAAAAATTAATGATTGTGCGGGCTGTGCGTGTTCGTGGGTGGTGTAAAAATCAATGGCTGATACTCACTCGGTATTCTGTTGATCGCTCGCAGCGGCCTCAGCACCCTTATCGTGCGTATCGCCGATAAATTCATGTTCTCGACGATCAGACAGTACTCTAAGGCTCTGCGAATAATCAGACGGATAACATTTGGGTGTGCACGTGAGGAGATGATTAAAATTGAAATTGTTTCTGGACACGTCAACCCGTAATTACTAGAAAGGGAGCACTGATAAGTTGTGTTATGGAACTGTGGGACTCTCCGTATTTTTAGACATTTGGGAGTATGTCCGGGTCTCGAGGAATTACGAGTTTTTTTTTTTACTTTATTCGTTCAGCTAACGCTAGTTCATTTTGTTGATATTATTTAATTAAATACTTTTACTATTTTTGTTTTGTGTATATACTAGACACTTTTAAAGTGACTAAACGTGTCAGGACTACTTGGAGCATTAACGCTGAATCTTTTTTTATGGCCAATATTTTGATAAATTTTTTTTTTTTCATCTCCATATAACTGCTCCAATATTTTAGTGCATTAGCATGTATAAAAAAGCACTTTCATATTTATAACAGAGACTTAATCTTATTTGTTATTCGACAAAAAATTTTCTTTCAGCATACGGTTGTCATAAACCCTAATTTTTATATTTTGAGAATGTACCAAAAAAAACCATATTTCCTCTTATTTAAAACATGTGCCACAACACTTAAATCATTCTTATTAATAAAATAAACAAATATACTCAAATTGAAACATATTGATGTAGAAATTAACATTGCCAGTCATATATTTTTTAATTGTGCGTTTAAATAAAGAGTGATTTAATAAATATGTCAGTACCATCTCTTTCACGTTAGGATTTTACTTTTTTGTACAAATCAATATTAACCTTTTGTTCGTATCCATTGTGTGGATCTTTATGTATAAAAAATTCAAGAAAAGTATAATAAAAGCAAAAAATCGTCGCAAGAACCGTCACGAATATCTCTATGGATGAGCGGAAGCTCTCGGGGTTCAATATGCCGCTCTCCGGTGAACATCCACACATTTGAAAAGCAACCCTTCATTCTTGGCATTATTGCCAACGAGCAAATATCATCCTTCCTCCGTTGAAAAAAGAGAATACGAGAAATCCAGAAATAACTGAGTGACGCTGGCAAATTTATTTTCCTCTCGGATATTTTATTGACGCAAATATTTGGCTAAGTTTTCTCTTATTTTTTTATCAATTTTCAGAGTTTATCAACAATGAAAATATCTTTCTGTTTTTTTTGTTTTGTTTTTTTTTTACATTTACACACGAGTAAGAGCAGTGTTGACAACAGCTTCGTAATACAAAGGATCAAGAAACTATTACTCAATTAGCTCAAGACAAAATTGAGATAGATACAAACACACATATGCACGAAAAAGAATTGATGACCAAATGGTACTTACCCTGCTATAACTATGAAGAAGTCTAATCTATTCCAGGAATCAGCGAGGTAGGTGCCTTTACCGTATACACCCATCGCCATCATTTTGATCGTCATTTCGACCGAAAAAAATACAAATATCATGTCGTCGAACATCTGGAAACAGAAATAAATTTCCTATTTTACTTTTGAATCTTCATAACAACTACCTGCTTTATCTACTCGTAGCTAAAAATGTGACAAAATAGTCTTTGAACCAGGATAGTTTATTTTGACGTCATTTAAGGCTCATGGTTTCATCCGACAAGGAATACAGTAGGCTGGCACGATCGGTAAAATAAATTAAATGAAGTAAAGTTCTCAGCAACACAGCCACACACGTAATAATATTTATAATCCAAAAGTCAGACTTTGTCCAATAGATAAATGCTTATGGGTCACTGAAACTATATCCAAGGTTTCATAATCTTTAATAACTCTATAAGAGCCCAAGGGTCCTGTGAAGTGAACATAATCCTATAACTAGAGCTAAACATATACGATAACCCATCAATTATAATTTGTAGGTTTGTATGGTTATTCAAACACTTCCATAATCCAAAAACCAATAAACCTTATCCCCGGTAATCTCATAGTTACATATTCTAACAACCGCTTATCTATAGTTAACGTACTCAACCAGCCCTTGTACGATTTTTATCTAAAGTACTGCAAAACTTATACGGTAAAATCCTTATAACCCCGTAATCCTTTATACCAATATCGATTGAAATTCTTTTTTGATGGATCATTAATTATTAAGAATTAATTTTCTAAAGAGCTATAGATTGAACGGTACAACAATTAAATTGTTATACCGTTATGACTTTGATCATTTTTATTAATGAAATTGTGTGTTTGTTCAATATTACATCTATATTTGATACTATATTCAAAAATAAATGAAGTATTGATCTGTATAAAAAACCACCGCCACAAGGCCATTTGCAAAAATGAATACAGCCCCAAGCTTTCAAAATTTACAACCCAAAACGCACTTTATGGGGGTTCCATCGTGAAAGAAAGGCTCACATGCATAATACGCTCTTTTGAACCTCACAAAGTCCGAAGGATACGACGAATAATAAGATAGAAAAACACACATGAAATTCAAGCATACCAACCAGTGACATAAAACTGGTGGCGCGAGACTCGTTGCCGAAGAAAAAACTCGTCTAAAACATACAAACGCACGCAACATAAAACCAGGTGCCAACGAAAGTCTATTCATAAACGCGTGGTCCATAAACTTTACCGCCGTTTATACATGTGTGCACTGGAGGTACGGCTTCTTCCTTCTGTACCAGTATGTCTTAACGACAAAAGACCGCCAAAAATAATCCCCATCGTAAAAGGAGATCTGAATCGATTCTCTCCCATCCACTCGTGCGTTGCAGAGAAGCCCTCGTTTTTTTCTAAAAAGCTCGAGCTCGTCCCTCCTACCTTCACCCCCTCGCCACGCTTTGTGGTACTCCACCTGCGTACAGTCGGTAATTAAAAAGGAAAAAGTCCCTCCCAATCCAACGATCGCTTTCTGCTTCTTTGGCTTCTTTCAGAACTCATTTTTTTTCTTCTTTTAATTATGCGCCCTTTTGAGATGCGATAATCCAAACTTGTCGAGCTGCCGAGTCGAACGCTCTACTCTTTAGTCGAACGCTCTACTCTTTGAGCGATTAATTAGAAAATATGCGTACTGTAACGAGGTCCTTCGGTGCTTGTATTGATATTGATCTTTGCTTCCGAATTAAATTTTTATTTAGTTTTATATCTTTTGGGAAGTTTGGATTAAATAATCATACGTTTTTAAAAAATAACCGAGTGATGAAAATATTATATGAAAAATAATAAACTAATAGAAAATTTAAAATAATTTCCTCAATGGCTTGCTTAGTTTCATTATAAGCTAGTACTAATGAATGTTAAAAGTGAATTCAAGTATTAAACCAATATTTGTTTATTTATGAAATCATTTACCTACTAACTGACTCTCTGATGTAAAAATAATGAAAGTTCCCACGTAATAGTTTAGTTTTAAAAGCAAATAACACGCTTTTATACAGTTGAAGTATGATCTTGCAAACAGAAAATAAATTTTTAAAATGACTTTGAAAATCGTGAAAATCAACTAAAAATTCTGTTTTATCGAGACAAAGGAAGCTGGAGGCGTGGAAATTTCAGGGTGAACTTCTGCTCTCAAGCGCTAATTATAGACCCTTATTAGGGTCATGGAGAAAAACAATGTGTACTTTTCCCCCCTCCACTCAGCACGGAAAGTCCTCGCTCGTGTCTGATGGGCGTCGGTGCTTCGTTGGTATCCGAGAATCGTACGTAAATGCGGTTGATAATAGAAAAACGTATTTTTTTTTTTTTTCATGAAGCATTTAAAGTATTAAAATGTCGAATAAATTTTTTTTAGGTAATTTCGTTATCGTCAGCTAATTTTGTTTTAATGAATAATTACATTCTGTGACTGTAAATAATTCATTAGGAACGCATAAAGCTGGAGGAAAACAAATTTTATCTTCGCGTGATGAGCTGACCCTGGACACTCGAAGTAGCAGAGTAAATAGATTAAGCTCGCAATAAAGTCATTTTTCAATCAGTGTATGCAGAACCAGCCAAAACAAATCCATCTCGGTAATTTTACAAGCCAGCTAGCGTATATCCCTGGAAACTTTAAGAAATTCACTCCAAGAGAGATTTCATTCTTCCTCTTTTAGCTCATCTCCTTATTGCTGATGCTTCCTCGTGATGTACAATTGTGTAGGAAAGAATAAAAGTCGATCTAAAGTTCGCGATTGTGAGCGAGCTTTGCGAGTGATTCGTACGTAGAAGAAAGAGAGCAGCCAATGAGCCAAAACGTACTGAACTAAATAACTCATTTTACGTAAATGAAACAGCCTCGTAAGTGATGAAAGTACGCACGAGTTTGTGTTATTTATTACTTCATTTTTTGGAAAATGTCATAGTAACTGGAGTTATAATTCCCAAAACGGTATACTACGATTTACAGTAATACGAATTTTTAAATTGTTTTTAAATATTCTATACAAAAGACATATTTTAGATATTTTTGAAAGATGGATATTTAAAAAATTTTAAAGACTCTTAAAACAATTGTAGAAGTATGAAAATAACGGCTCTTTAAAATTCTTAAAGAATAAAACTATTCCAAATATTTTCAACAGCAGTTTTTTTAAACATTTTTATAACTGCAGAAAAATTCTAAAACATGTCACTTTCTAAAGATGCATATTTTTACACGATCTTATCAAAATCTCAATCTCTTCTATGCAAAATTTATGTTACGCAATACAGTCATTCATAAATTTTTTTGCAAATAATTTATGTCTATCATATATCAGCCACATTTTTCAACTTTCTTATGATAATTCGATTATTTGCAAGTAATAATTTTTTGTATACCTATAATTTACTTATACAATTACATTGGTATTGGTGAACTTTCATAACATTACTTTGAAACTCCCTTATTAAATAACAATATTACAGACTTAAAAAATTTGACCTTTTTACATTTCGTAGATAATAACATAGTAGATAGATAATAACAGACGTAGCGTTGTATAATATTTATACATTACCTGTAGTATCTTACAACGATTCGTAACGCATTGGTCGTCGACGCAAGGCTGGTACATGCCCAGCGTGATGCAGTTTAGGAGTATCACCATCATGCTGATTCTCTCGAACCACGTGCGCCAACAAAATAATGCTCTGAGTTAAGGAAAACGAAAGATAGTCTGGGAATCAATAAAAAAAAAAAGGTATATCATCTATTCATGACAAAAAATTCTTGCAGATAGTAATAATTGTGTTCCATTTACCAAGTAACGAGGAGATACACACAGCTCGACATACAGCGTCATCCATAAAGTCTAACAATAAAGAAAAAGAAAAAAAAAAGAAAAAAAAACATTGAAGTGACGCGCGAAAGATCGATCGCCATTATTGTTAAAGCCAGCCACTCAGTAGCGGCTATGGCAAGGTAGTAACGTAGGTGCTTATCTACAGCAATCAATATTTAGATAGTTACCAAGTGACACTGACCCAGATAGTGAATTTTGCATTACGCAGACGTTGCGTTGTTTCACGCGTTGCTACACCTCCAATCATTTATCATTCATACAAAATTTTTTTCTTTCAGTTGCACATTTTGTCCTTCCTTACCTCCCACATTGAATCAAGAATATAATATACTACTGTCTTTTGCACACGCATGTAGATTATTGAATTACACTGGATAGTCCAAAAACTCCATACATGCCAGAAACTTTAATGTACCTAATATACTTCGTGAGTGCTGGTTTGCATGGCTGGACGAATGGACTAGGTATATAATGTTTGCCTGCCGTATCCGTAAGTGTAATTACATGATCAGCAAGAAGTTTGGTAATCAAAGTTCAGAAGAGAATTTCGCTGAACTCGTCGGAAAGTTTCTGATTAGTGTCGTAACTAGCTGGCTAATTTATTGAATCGATTGATCATCATGATTAGTTTTGTATAAAACTATGACAATATTATTTGTCACTTTTTTCGAAGCCAGAACAATTACAGGAAGTTGTCAGTGGAAGTACAGCATGAAAATTAGAGAAACAAAAGCTTCGCCACTTCCATTTTAGGTATACCATAGGTGCATTATACATACAGAATTGTAATATTTACTTGAAAGTATGAATTATGTATAGTGCTATTGAACGATCGATGGAAATACATATGAATGCATCGAAATCTAAAATTTAAAGTTTGCTAGTTTTTTTTATGAAGGTAATTTTTTTTTTTTTTTTTTTTTTGTTATGAAAAAATATAAAATTCTTTTCACACAGTTAAAACTGATCGAACAAATGTGTATCGAAAGAATGATGGCGCAGAAATTTTGTACCAAAGCTTCACATCCAGAACTTTATCAAATAAGAGGGAGGAAAATACAAACGCACGACGAAATAAAATTTCATTTTACTTTGGGAAATTCACACATCCATCGCGTGACTCGAGCACGATGTACGAAAGATGAAAATAATTTCCTCTGTAAGCAAAAGATTCAAATGAAATTCATTCTTGAAAACCCAAAAAATGCGGAGATTCTAGGATTCTAGTGAAAACCTCTGATTCAAAAAAGCACAAGCATCAGCTCCACCGTCGACGGTACTCAGTACTATTAATCAATTTAACCTTGCTAACGTTGAGTTGGACGTTGCACCATTATTATGAGTAATCACCATTGATCTTTCGAAGCTGAGCTGAAGGAAAAAATTAATATGCTACAAATTTTTTACGTAGTTTGCTACCAAAATGACTTTCCTTACTGATGTACGATAGTAAAATCATATGTTCTATACTATATGTAAGTCGTAGACGTACTATCAACTTTATTCAGCTGTCACAAACAGAAATCAAAATACGCCCTAAAAAGTTGCTAGTTTTAAAGTGTGTGGCCTGTACCAAACACGTTAAGAAAAGATGTAGACAAACTACTAAATATTAATGTAATAATATTAAAAATATAATACTTCAAATCAATTTTAAAATGTAAAAGTTGTGAAACGTATGAACTTGGATTGATAACATGTTGAATCATACTACCATTGCAGTTGCAACAACAATTTTAAAAATTAGGAGAAAAGGAATGGAAAATAAAGAAGTGACAAAGAATTCATAAAAATTTGGAAACACATAAATTAAAATTGATTTATGGAGAAGAATAACTTTCTGATTATTTGGTATAGAGCATGTGATAGATATAACAGAATTTTTCGATCTGAACATGGATAAAAGAATTTGAAAGAGCACGATCAGATTTTTTAAGATGACTCATTAAACAAGATACGGATATATCTGATGTGCGAGGATACTGAAATTAAGAAATTAAAGATAGATGGTCTGAGAAGAGTTAGCAAGTTTGTTCAGAAAAATGATAAATTCGAAGAAAGCAGGCTGCTAAAAATATACTGGAAAGACAAACGAGGATGTAAAGTAGAGATGTATATGTATTACATAGTGGGCTGTAAATAAGTACAAAGCGTAGAGGGTTAACTCTAGAGCATAAAAAGTTTTAAAAAAGTATATAGGTGACATAATCACAAGTTTGTGACGGTATATAGGCAAAATAGATTATAAATATTAGAACAAGTTGGAAAGAAACTTTGCTGATATGTAAGATTATAAATGCTACGATACATAAATAACAATGACAATAATGCCAATAATGTTGTTAAGAATATTTTATGCGATTAATAACAGTTATCAATGATTACCGAATAAAATGAATAACCAACTGTTAAAATAAACGGACTGTAAAAAACTAAAGGTTGTACGCTGTATAAATGCCTGGCCAACGCTCACACCCTCATAAAAATTGTAAACCTCCATCCCCCTGTCAACAGCTATTCTCTTACCTTTGAATACTTGCAATCGTCCGAATGAGATTTAAGCAATTCATTGATTGACCTTTAAGTCGATAGATCTAAATTCCAACTCCAAACGGTGCTTCGTCCATCACCTTTGCCCTCAACACGAAGTTAAACGACAAACTCCCAAAAGCCTCCCCCTATGGGCCAAAAAAAAAGCTCACTGCTGTTAAAAATACCCCACTGAGCCCAAAAAACTACCCTCCAAATGTGGCTCCTCGCACACGCATGTACGGCACCAAGAGTCAAGTTACGGCTAAAAGCCATTACACACGCGCGCGCGCATCCACTCTTGCGATACGCTAACGGCGCAGCTACCCGAGCGGAAGCCGTTACCCCAGCGAAGAAGGAAGCCGGGGAGTACGAGAGTCCCGTAACGCGTGTTTGTGTTCACGCTCGCTCTACTTTCTCTGTACCCTCTATACGTGCGCATAGCAAAGCGTGTGTGTTTTTCCGGCACTTGTACAGTCCGGTGACCCGTTCGCAGTTTGGAACAATACGGTACGCTTGGGAGAACGAGGAGAAACACGTGCAGAGTCCTTTTCCTATTCACCCTCGCAAGATGCCAATGTAAGGCTCTCGATGGTTTTGCGGATACTTCGGTAACACGTTAAGCTCGAGCCTTTATCGGACGAACAGGTGATACAGCAATTTTTATGTTACATGCACATGATGGATTTCCTTTTGTTCATTCAGCTTTTTCCTTTTGTGAATTTTGTTTGTTTTTACGATTTCGGGCACCTTTTGGATACAAACTTTCGAGAAAAAATATAGCTTTTTCATCCCTTCCACTATTGCTGTTGAATCTACAGTTCTTTGTTTACAGATAGAAGAAAACCTGGTCTGCACGAATCATTTTTTAGATTTTTCGAAATGATTCATTGTGACTTGCAGTTTTTGAGAACATGTAAGTTTTGTTACCGCCTGCATCACTAATGATTCTTGCCAAAAAACGATTAATCAAACAGCACCAAACACTCGATTTTACTAAACTACCACTACAACTGAACTGAATACTAAATAGTAAATCCTTCTATCTGTACCACGGCACAGTTCTTCGGTCAAACACACATCTGATCCCAAGAGGAATAACCCTATGTAATTGACGCTGTTGTTTCAGTTGTCCAAATAGACACTTCCTCACCTGTTTGAGTAAACATCAGCAGTAATGTTTTCAGCGTAAACATGAAATCGCGAGTTGGAGGTACCCATTGTCGTTCTGGTTGCCAAAACGGTCATGATTCTAGCTTATCTCTTGGTAATTATCGCTCTTTCCTTTTTTTTGGGTTTTAAAACGGAATTAAAACTTGCTTGTTGGAAAAATGGCCAAATGGAAATTGGATGATTTTTTTGTATTTGTAGAGGGATCGTAAAAAATCAACCCACGTTGTTACTTTATGCACCGAGGAAACTCAATAAATTTCATCCATTTCCTGTTTGAAAGAATTTACATTTTGCAAGCTGATGTGCGGTGTATCGAATTTTTTCGCCACTGACGTAGTCTACAAAACTCGGGAGTAATTTTGTTTTTCATCTACGCACGTGGAAGCCTCATTTGTACGGCGTTTTTTGTTTTTGAAGTATACCAATTAAAAATTTTAAATTATCTTGAAAGCTCGTACTGACAGGTGCCCTTTTACTGCTCGTTAGTATTACTGGAGTGGCAGGAGGTGGTATAATATTCAACTAATTTTGAGATGAACTAAAATGTAGTTTTAATTAATTTATATTTTTTGTTTTCATTTTTCAAATTACACAATGTACTTTACAACATACAAAATAACTTGGTTATCCTTTAATTAAAAACTTGAGTATACGAATCTTACGATTAAAATTGATTGCAGTAAATCGAAAGCTTTCAAAAATCCATCGACTCCCACTTCTTTAAAACGATCAGCAAGTTTGAAACTTTTATTTTTCGTTTACTTAGAAAAACATAATTGGGAAATAATGACGCCGGATACCGTTCGACACGACAACTTTTAATTAAATTAAAAAGTCCCTCCTGCTTCAAAAAGATCCCTATCAAGAAACGCTTACATCTTACGTGAAACTTTCGGGAAGACACGTTCTATTAAAAAACTTTTCACAGCATCCGGGGCAGAAATAAGGAGGGACTATCGTCGTCGTAATATCACTTTTTGGCGGAAATCCTCTACACCAAATCCCCGAGCTTTCCATGCAGTAAAAACTTTCTCTCCATGAAAGTAGATTCTTTGCTTGGCAATAGCCCAGAATAAGCGAACCTTTCACATATCTTGGAATTGAAAATAATGTTACTTTGTACGT